TGTTTTTTAATGTAACTTATTCTTTAATTATAGTCTACATACAATATTATATTAGTTTTTGGTGTACAACATAGTGATTAGACATTTATATAACTTAGGAAGTGATCAACCTGTTAAGTCTAATACCCATCTGACAACAGTTATTACAATATTATTGACTATATTCCCTATGCTGAACTTTACATCCCCATGACCATTTTTATAACTGGCAATTTGCATATCTTAATCCCTTCCTCTTTTTCACTTATATCCCAACCCTTCTCCCACTGGCAACCATCAGTTTGTTCTGTGTATCTAAGTTTGTTTCTGTTTTGTTCATTATTTTCTTTGATTCCACATATAAGTGAAATCGTATGGTATTTGGCTTTCTCTAACTTATTTCACTTAGCACAAAACCTTCTAGATCCATGTTGATGCAAATGGTGAAATTTCATTTTTTTTTTAATGGCTGAGTAATATTCCATTGTATATATATACCACTTCTTTTTATCCAGTTATCTATTGATGGGCATTAAGGTTGCTTCCCTATCTTGTAAATAATGCTGCAATGAACATAGGGTTGCAGATATCTTTTTGAATTAGTATTTTGGAATTCTTCAGATAAATATCCAGAAATGAAGTTGCTGGGTCCTTGTCTTTTGTCATAGACTTTATTTTAAAGTTTATTTTCTCTCATATGTATATGCTTGGGTTTCATCTTTGAACAGGGATGGGCATTTTAGGGATAGAAAGCAGCAGCTCTCCAGTGGACTCCATCAGGAGTACTCATAGCATATTACCCATAAAATATATAGACTCTCCTGGCCACTCAGGTGATCTTAATAAGTTCCCCGAGGAGCCAATGGGTCTAGAAAAAACGTGACCTTTTCCAGAACCACTGTATCGAACTGAGGACAGGGGAAAACACTTCCTCCTGTTAATGACATATGCTGGAAGGTCCACGTTTTGCTCTGTACTGCAAGTACCGTTATCTTTTCAATGAGGAGGCCTCTGTGGTGAAGCAAGCCTGAAAGGTGCTGCCTCCACGACTGAAAGCAAAATGTGAAGCCAGCTACGAAAGGTGTTCAGTTCAGGGGCTGTGAGAGCCTCCATTTCCAGAAAGCAAGTCTGTGGCCAGCAATGGCTGCTCTTTGTGAAGCACCAGGCCATTTCCACCAGAATCTCCGGAGCAATTTATGGCCAACATGGGTGGTTTTGACTCTTGTGAGGCCTGAGAGGAGGCTGCTAAAGCCTCTATGGTAAAGGAGTATAGGGAGGGAGATGCTAATGGAGTGACTGTTTTGTGAATAGATTCTAGAGCCATTTGTTGCCCCATCTAAGGTGGGTCAACTTTGTTAGTAATTTGTGAGTACGTGGAGCCAATAATTATGTGCTAGTGGGGACTGTTGATACCGAGAGATATGAGATCTACCACCCTCTCAGATCACAGCCACCTGGCATTGCTACGGTTTTCAAGTGGGACAGGTGTGGATTTCTAAAGATGCTTCCCACTCAGCAGGCAGAAGAGTGGGCTTCTGATGGGAAACTTAAGAGCTGGAAAAGGATTCAAGGTGGCCTCAGAAAGACATGATGCTGATGTCCAGGAATTAGGATGTCCCTGGGCAGATCCCAGCATTCCAAAAGATCTGACTGAGAAACCTGACTTAAAGTCAGACAGGTTCTGGAAGCTCTCACTTCTTTTCAGTTTTGTGTGTGGGTAGAGGGTAAGTGCAGCACTAGAGGGTGTTTTTTCAGTTAAGATGGAGTTGCGAAAAAGGTCTGTTGGGGAATGAGTGAGTCCTCCTTCCCCAGTCCTTCAGTTCTTCATAAGATAGATCCCAAGGTGGTGAAAAGAAGTGCTGCACATGTAACAATCAGAATCATGAGAGTTTACCATTCCCCTAGTTTATGAAAGCATTTTTTGTTATTTCCTATTATTTCGGATATATACACACACTAATGTTAAGTGTAGTTATGAGTTTTCACAAACGTATATTAATACTACCACCAAAAGATAGAGGACACTCCATTATCCCAAGAGAACACTTCTTGTGGTGCCCATTTGTACAAAACCCCGATACCTAGTTTTAACTACTTGTTTTAGGTCCCTACTTTTTTTTCCCAGAATGTAAATAGAATACCATGTTGCCACATGAGCCGTTTGTCAAATTTGATGCCATA